GGGTGGGTGGGTGAGTGTGACCCACAGGCCCACCACACAGAGACACACAGACTCACCACACAGAGACCCACAGACTCACCACACAGAGACCCACAGACTCACCACACAGAGACCCACAGACTCACCACCCAAAGACACGCACAGACTCACCACACAGAGACACATAGACTCACCACACAGAGACCCACAGACTCACCACACAGAGACCCACAGACTCATCACACAGAGACACACAGACTCACCACACAGAGACCCACAGACTCACCACACAGAGACCCACAGACTCATCACACAGAGACCCACAGACTCACCACACAGAGACCCACAGACTCACCACACAGAGACACACAGACTCACCACACAGAGACCCACAGACTCACCACACAGAGACACCCACAGACTCACCACACAGAGACCCACAGACTCACCACACAGAGACCCACAGACTCACCACACAGACTCATCACACAGAGACTCACCACACAGAGACCCACAGACTCACCACACAGAGGCCCACAGACTCACCACACAGACACCCACATACTCACCACACAGACTCATCACACAGAGACTCACCACACAGAGACCCACAGACTCACCACACAGAGGCCCACAGACTCACCACACAGACACCCACAGACTCACCACACAGACTCATCACACAGAGACTCACCACACAGAGACCCACAGACTCATCACACAGAGACCCACAGACTCACCACACAGAGACCCACAGACTCACCACACAGAGACCCACAGACTCATCACATAGAGACCCACAGACTCACCACACAGACACCCACAGACTCACCACACAGAGACCCACAGACTCACCACACAGAGACCTATAGACTCATCACACAGAGACCCACAGACTCATCACACAGAGACCCACAGACTCACCACACAGACTCGCCAAACAGAGACCCACAGAGTCACCACACAGAGACACCCACAGACTCACCACACAGAGACACCCACAGACTCACCACAGACTCACCACACAGAGACCCACAGACTCACCACACAGAGACCCACAGACTCATCACACAGAGACCCACTGACTCACCACACAGACTCGCCAAACAGAGACCCACAGAGTCACCACACAGAGACACCCACAGACTCACCACACAGAGACACCCACAGACTCACCACAGACTCACCACACAGACACCCACAGACTCACCACACAGAGACCCACAGACTCACCACACAGAGACCCACAGACTCATCACACAGAGACACACAGACTCACCACACAGAGACCCATAGACTCACCACACAGAGACCCACAGACTCGCCACACAGAGACCCACAGACTCACCACACAGACACCCACAGACTCACCACACAGAGACCCACAGACACCCACAGACTCACCACAGACTCACCACACAGAGACCCACAGACTCATCATACAGAGACCCACAGACTCACCACACAGACACCCACAGACTCACCACAGACTCACCACACAGAGACCCACAGACACCCACAGACTCACCACAGACTCACCACACAGACACCCACAGACTCACCACAGACTCACCACAGACTCACCACCCTCCCCCCCCCCTCCCCCCCCAGGCCCGTGCCCAGCTGGCCGAGCAGCTCCAGAAGAGTCGTGAGCTCACGGAGAGGACGGCTCCCTCGGCCTTCCAATCGGACCCCGAATCGTCCGTCGATGATTCCGGATCCGAGACGCCGGCAGGTCTCGGACATCTACGCGGCGACGAAGAGGGGGAGGAGGTGGAGGAGGAGGGCGAGGAGGAGGCGGGGGAGGGGGGCGAGGCGGCGGGGGGGAGGAGGAGGAGGAGGAGGAGGCCTGGAGCTCGCTCAAACCCGTGGATGAGCGGGAGGCTGTCCCGGGCGGACGACGTTCCCGAGGGGGACGTCGTCGCCGCCGCGTTGGGCCGGCCAGAACACGGCGGTGAAGCAGGCGGGGGTGGAACAGCAGCGGGTGGAGATGGAGCAGCAGGTGGAGCAGCAGGTGGAGATGGAGCAGCGGGTGGAGCAGCAGGTGGAGCAACAGGTGGAGCAGCAGGTGGAGCAACAGGAGGATCAACAGGTGGAGCAGCAGCAGGTGGAGCAGCAGGTGGAGATGGAGCAGCGGGTGGAGCAGCAGGTGGAGCAGCAGGTGGAGCAGCAGGTGGAGCAGCAGGTGGAGCAGCAGGTGGAGCAGCAGGTGACGCATTGGGTGGAGCAGCGGGTGGAGCAGTGGGTGACGCATTGGGTGGAGCAGCAGGTGGGGCAGCAGGTGGAGCAACAGGTGGAGCAGCAGGTGGAGCAACAGGTGGAGCAGCAGGTGGAGCAGCGGGTGGAGCAGCGGGTGGAGCAGCAGGTGGAGCAGCAGGTGGAGCAACAGGTGGAGCAGCGGGTGGAGCAACAGGTGGAGCAGCGGGTGGAGCAGCGGGTGGAGCAGCAGGTGGAGCAACAGGTGGAGCAGCGGGTGGAGCAGCGGGTGGAGCAGCGGGTGACGAGGATGACAGCGACGTGAGCTCGGACGAGGAGTCGACGCTTCGCCGATTCCAGGAGAGGAGGCGGTGGAGGAGGATGGAGGAGGTGGTGGAGGCGGTGGAGGAGGAGGTGGAGGAGGAGGTGGAGGAGGAGGAGGTGGAGGAGGTGAATGATGAGGAGGTAGAGGGGGTGGAGGCGATGGAGGAGGGGGGCGAGGAGGCGGTGCAGGGGGAGGCGAGGAAAGAGGAGGTGGAGGAGGTGGAGGGGGAGGTGGAAGATGACGTTGATGTGAAGGCAGTGGAGGAGGAGGAGGGGGAGGCAGTGGAGGAGGAGTCAGTGGAGGAGGAGTCGGTGGAGGCAGAAGCAGTTGAGGAGGAGGAGTCAGTGGAGGAAGAGGAGGAGTCAGTGGAGGAGGAGGAGGTGGAGTCAGTGGAGGTGGAGAAGGTGGAAGCAGTGAAGGAGGAGGTGGAGGCAGTGGAGGAGGAGTCAGTGGAGGAGGAGGAGGAGGCAGTGGAGGAGGTGGAGTCAGTGGAGGAGGAGGTGGAGGCAGTGGAGGAGGAGGAGGAGGAGGCAGTGGAGGAGGAAGCAGAAGCAGTGAAGGAGGAGGTGGAGTCAGTGGAGGAGGAGGAGGCAGTGGAGGAGGAGGTGGAGTCAGTGGAGGAGGAGGTGGAGGCAGTGGAGGAGGAGGAGGAGGAGGCAGTGGAGGAGGAAGCAGAAGCAGTGAAGGAGGAGGTGGAGTCAGTGGAGGAGGAGGAGGAGGAGGAGGAGGCAGAAGCAGTGAAGGAGGAGGAGGTGGAGTCAGTGGAGGAGGAGGAGGAGGAGGAGGAGGAGGCAGAAGCAGTGAAGGAGGAGGTGGAGTCAGTGGAGGAGGAGGAGGAAGAGGAGGAAGCAGAAGCAGTGAAGGAGGAGGTGGAGTCAGTGGAGGAGGAGGAGGAGGCAGAAGCAGTGAAGGAGGAGGAGGAGGTGGAGTCAGTGAAGGAGGAGGAGGAGGTGGAGTCAGTGAAGGAGGAGGTGGAGGAGGAGTCAGTGGAGGCGGCGATGCTGCAGCAGGGGGAGGGACTTGACGAGTTGTTTGCCGAGCTGGAAGGCGATGACGACGACGGGGTGCGTGAGGAGGTGCGTGAGGAGGTGCGGCGACGTCTCCTGCGGAAGAGGAAGAAGAAGGAGCGGCGGGAGCAGCAGCAGCAGCAGCAGCAGCAGGAGGAGGAAGAAGCTGCGGCGACGAGCAAGCGGAGCAAGCGGAGCAAGCGGAGCCACGGCCCCCAGCCCCCGGCCAAGCGGAGCGGCGGCGGCGTCGTCAAGGCAACGGCGGCTCGTCGCCTTGACGACGGCGCGGTGGAGAAGGCGGCGGCTGTGGTGGACGCCCAGCGGGGGAGCGGGAGGGCGGCGGCGGAGGCGGTGGAGGCGGTGGAGGCGGTGGTGGAGGTGGAGGCCGTGCTGGGCATGGCGAGTCGGCCCCTGGGCGGACCCACGCCCACGTTCATCGCCACCGAGGTGAGGGCTGCCGTGGTGGGGAGGGGTTGGGGTTGAGTTAGCGGAGTGCCACCGCGGGGAGGGACAGCCGTCCGTGACGTCCCCGTGGCCAAACCCCGATTGGCGGAGCCAGGAGATTGAATCTCTCTACCCTCGGGGCTCCTCCGGAAACAACGAAGAGCCGCCACGGACGGCCACGTGGAACGTTCGAACGCTCGCTGCGGAGGAGAGGCTGCCGCTCCTCTGTCGGGAGCTGGACCGGTGCCGCCTGGATCTCTGTGTGGCGTTCAGGAGGTCCGGTGGACCGGTTCTGGCTCCTGCCACCATGCGGGGTGGACAGTCCTCTACTCGGGGCAGCAGACTGCCAAACAACAGGGTGTGGCTCTTCTTTTGAACAAAAGAATGAAGGGGGGCGTGGGAGTGTGGCGGTGAGGTGTGGGAAGCTGTAAGCCCCAGGCTACTTTGGGCTCGCCTTCCCATCAACCGGAGGCGAGGAATGGTGGTCGTGGTTACTTATGCTCCCACCGAAGATGAACATCCGTGGAGGGATGCAGGCAAGGCCGATGCGTCAGATGCCTTCTATGACCTCCTGTCACAGGTGCTGGCTAAAGTGGCCCCTCGAGATAGAGTCATCTTGTTGGGTGACTTCAATGCCCGAGTTGGTCATGATGCTGGCACCTGGTCTGGAGTGATTGGAGGACATTGGCCAGATGAGCTCAATAACAACGGTAAGAGGCTGCTAGATTTTTGTGCAGCCCATGGGCTTGTAATTACCAACACGCTGTTCCGGCATCGGCGCATCCACACAACATCATGGATGCATACCAGGTCCAAGCAAGAACATCTGCTGGACTATGTAGTGACGGAACAGCGGATGCGGGCCCATGTCCTTGACACCAGGACCTACCATGGAGCTGATCTACCATCTGACCATCGACTTGTCATCTGTAAGATGCGCCTGCCATTCTTCCACTCCGGTGGTGGGTGTACACCCAGGACCCCATTCAAACCCAAGGTGGCCTGGTCTCAGTTATCTGATTAAAGTTGCAAGCGAGAATTTCATAATCGCTTGCGGCTGGGGTTGGCATCGTCCCCCACTCCTCCTGATGTCGAGGGGAAATGGGCGAGGTTTAGGACTGTGACTCATGCAGCTGCAATGGCTGCTTTTTGGGTACACAGTCCAGACCTCCCCATAGACCCTAGCTGACAGAGGAGGTGTTCAGGCTGGCTGTGAAAAAGCGACAGGCCCACTCTCATCGGCTACAGAATCCCACGTCAGAGAATGAGGAGGCTTACCGCAGCCTTCGCTTGGAGGTTCGGAGAGCCGTGAGGCGCTGCAAGGATGGGTGGTGGTCGCGGGTTGCTGAGGAGATGGAGTCTGCCTCAGTGGCCCGCGATCACAAATCTCTATTTAACTCCATCAAAAAAGTAACCTGCAGTGCCACACCTATTACCATCATCAAGGGAAAAAAACGGTGATCCAATCTTTGACCCCCAGGAACAGGTTTGCAGATTTGCTGGGCATTTCTGTGAAGTCCTGGGGAAGGGGAAATCCTTCAACATGGAAAAAACATCGTGGGACAAAGTGAGGATGACCCTGCTGAGGCTGCGGTGCCTCAAATATTTGAAGAAGTCACCCCATGTGAGTGGCTGGCTGAGGTGCCATTTGTTGAGGAAGTACTGAAGGCGATCCAGAGTCTTGAGACCAGGAAAGGCACCGGGCAGAGATGATCTCCCAAGCGAAATGCTGAGGGAGGGTGGCGTTTGTGCACAGACTGCCCTACATGACATCATAACAACAGTCTGGACCACTGGACGGGTTCCACAGGATTGGAAGGATGCCCTGGTGGTCCCCCTCTTGAAGAAGGGGGACCGCACAGACTGTAACAACTACAGGGTCATCTCACTCCTCAGTGTGCCGGGAAAGGTCCTGGCAAGGATTATTCAACATCGCCTTGCCAGGCACGCTGAGGAGAGGCTTGCGGAGCCCCAATGTGGTTTCAGGAAAGGGCGGTCCTGCACAGATGCCATATTTTCTGTCTGTCTGCTACAGCAGAGGTGTATGGAATTCCAACAAGACCTACATCTCTGCTTTATTGACCTGGTCAAGGCCTATGATACCATCAGTAGGTCTGGGCTCTGGGTTGTTCTTCGTGCTTTCGGAGTCCATGACCCCCTGCTCACGATCATTCAGGACCTTCATGATATTGAGCGGGCCCGGGTAAAACTACGTGGCCGGGAGTCAGAGCCATTCCCTGTACACCTTGGGGTGCGACAGGGATGTCCTCTGGCTTTCCACATTATTTAACATCTATTTTGACCACGTAGTTCGTGAAGTCTTCAATAGCTGTACCGGGGGAATCTCCATATGGTACAGATATAATGGGAGGCTGATCGATGCCCGGGTGCGGTCAAGGGATGGCTCCCTATTGCTCAACTACGTTATGTATGCCGATAATCTGGTAATTGCTGCTCACTCAAAGGAGGAGTTGGAGGCGCTGCTGCTGAACCTGGGGCGTGCCACTAAGAGATGGGGCCTTACCATCAGCCCCACCAAAACTAAGCACCTGCCTGGGTATTTTGTACCATCGGACACTCCACCCCCACAACTCCCAATCGGTGATGGGGCAGTTGTGGAGAGAGTGGAGAGTTTCCCATACCTGGGCAGTGTGCTTATGACCGGCTCCAGTTTAACAGCAGAGGTCTCACTCCGAATCATTCGAGCGGCAATATCTTTTCATCGGTTGCGTAACGCTGCGTGGAAGCTACCTGGTCTGTCGCTCCGCACTAAGCTTCAGGTCTTCTCGGCCACGGTCATTCCCTCCATTCTCTACGCTTGCGAAACGTGGATCCCCCTAATGGAACATCGTAGCCGGTTAAAAACATTTAGGCTGGCCTGCCTACGATCCATCCTGGGTTTAACCTACAAGCTGGATTATTTGAGGAGCTCACAAATCGTTGGAAGATCTGGACAAAGTCCCATCGGTGAGCTCTTCCGGCGGGCAAGGCTGCGTTGGCTGGGTCATGTAGCCCGCATGCCCAGCCACCGCATGCCTAAACAGCTTTTGTTTGGCCGGATCGAGGGTGCTAAATGGGCGCGGCACGGGCTAGAGAAGAGATGGAGTGATGTGGTACAGGAGGACGTGTAGCTGAGTGGACTTGCCGATGACTGGTACCAGCGGTGTCAAGATCTGCCTCTGTGGAGGAGGCTCGTGAAGGACGCTACTGGGCAGTTGGAGGCAGTCGCCCTCCAACAACAACGGAGGGCAGAGGAGCAACGCTCACAACAACGAGCGGAGCGCCGGGTGGCTAAAGCAGCAGGTTGGCACAGTAGGGGGCACAGGTGGTACATCAGCCACTCATCTCAGTCATCTCAGTCAGTCGACCCGTGGCACCTGCTGGGTCTGCCCCGTGACCTCCTGCCAGCGGGCGTTCGACACTTCACGTGGCCTCAATGTGCACATAGCCTGGCCACTTAGTGGCGAATGGCGGTTGTTGTTGTTGAGTGAGTGAGTGGTTGAGTGAGTGAGTGGATGAGTGAGTGAGTGAGTGGATGAGTGACTGGGT